TCAAAACGAAATAGCTCAAATTGGGATGAATTCATCATCAGGACATGGGATCGATACGGTCATAATTATTAAGCCAAAGAACAAAGTGTATTTGCATATAGCACATATTTCACATCACATAGTCCTTTGTGTTCCAGAGCCAGTGTTATTTATTATATCTCGTCTCGTATATTGCGTTTAGCACATGGAGTGTGTGAGGGCCTGGGAACGTCGCTGCTGTCAGTTACACGCGGGACAGTCCAGCCAACTCATTAGCCTTAAGCAGGGTTCATCAGTAAATAAATTGCAAGTTAAGAGCTGAACATAGATGTACAAATGTTTTTTGACTACATATTTAAGATTCCACATTTCAGTCAAGAATGAGCACATTGAATGTACTTCCCACACACACCCTACACGGTGATGTAAATTATACATCGTGTGCCTCTATCAGTCTCACAGATGAAGTGCCACCTGCCGGATGAATGACTGTTTGAAATAACATCGATTCATATTGTTTGTTTGTAATGTTACAGGAGACGCAGTCGTGGACAATCCCTTCAGCACAGTTCATCATGTGTGAGCGTTCAAATGATGTGTGAAATGCGTTCTTGCTACATTGTGCTGCACATGGAGGTAAGCGTTTCACATTACAATGTTCTTCCTCCTTGAATTTACGTAACACTAATGGAATTCTGCTCCTGTTTAATGGCAACTGTATAAGAGTGATTCTAGAATTGCGGGTACATCTCACATCTCCAGGATAAAACTTGTATTATTTTTCGAAAACAACAACTTTAATGAATTTGAATAATAACACAAGCTTTCTTTAAAAAAAATAACGCTTGTGGGTGTATTTAGGGTCTTCCCACTATACCTATTTTAACTCTGAATCCTGCATTCAGCTTCAAATCATCATTAATAATTGTCAAATGTTTAGCGTTTTTTTGTGTTAACTCTACTACGTTAACTAAACATCTGCATGAAACATCTACTTTCAGTATTATTTGTCATTTCAGGTATAAAAAATACATTTTTGTGTCATCGGTTATAAAAAGCACTGATAGAAAAAGCCTGTGACTCACCCCAAATGATGTCACTTCCTCTGGCAGGAAACTCTGGAAGGCATTGAGGCATGTCAATTTGTACACAATGTTTACGATACACCGATGGTACTGTAGATTAAGACATTGTCTTATCAACACTATGTTTCTGAAAACATCTTTCTACTTTTGGTGTGCTCTGCAGGTGAGTGGGTTTGACAAACCACCTGTAAGACACACTCTTTACTATATGCATGGGAATAAAAAGAAAGAAATTACATTTGTATATTAAGTCATTTAGATTCATCATATCATTTACATATTGCAAATCTAGTGATTTGAAGTGCTTCTTTCATCCGCACTTTGGATAAACGTGTCTGTTACATGATTAAATGTAAATTGAGTCAATTTTAGTGAATTTCTAATTCACTTTTTCAAAACAACAATATGAAAGTGCATAAAATTCTGTCATGTCATGCGGTATCTGGTTTGAGGTTAGCAACTTAAAAATATCAACTCCTATTATCAATTATGTTATTGGTTTAAATTGTTAAACAATAAGTTAAACAACAATTAGTAAGAGGGTAAAATGTTCACGTTTAAGCATTTCACATTATATTATATTAATGGATTCAGTAAACTATATATATATATATATATATATATATATATATATATATATATATATATATATATATATATATATATATATATATATATGTATATATATATTGTAGGGCTGCACAATTATAGTTTCAGAATTGACTCTGCAATAGTCACATTGCAGGGGTCTGCAATGTAGTTGGGATTATAGTTGATCAGGCAATTCAATTAACATCATAAGGGAGTTATTTCAAATTTTAACCTTAGAGTGAAAGCTCATAATTTGCATGTGTTTTTAAGGCCTGTGTAAGCATTTCAAGCTAATTTAAGCTATTTGGGCACAGTAAATGACATGTTTGTATATTAAAGATTAATTGTACATTATATAAATATTTAATCAATGAAAATAATGAAGTGTTTTTGTTATTAATTATATTATTATGAATTCGTTCATTCATCTTTTCGGCTGAGTCTCTTTATTAATCTGGGGTCACCACATCTGCATTCTGGGGTCACAAATTTAGCTTTCCCCAATTCATATATACCGCATGTCGTTGGACTTGTGGAGGAACCGGAGCGCCCGGAGGAAACCCATGTGAACACGGGGAGAACATGCAAAATCCTCACAGAAATGCCTACTGACCCAGCTGATGCTCGAACCAGCGAACTTCTTGCTGTGAGGCAATCGTGCTACCCACTGTGCCACCGTGACACCCATATTATTATTATTCTGTGATTATTTAATTTCTGTTTCTGAATACTGAAAATCATAAATCATTGTTTATTTGTATCTGTTGCATTTAACGGTCATATTTTAAACCACAATTTATGCAAATACACTCCTCTTCAAAATATCCAAATTGATCTAAAATTAAGAATTTTTAAAATTAATTTGGTGAAATTGAATTTTTATTGCAATATATATTGCAGTATATGAAACTCATTGCAATGTCTGTTTTTTTCCAATAATGTGCAGCCCTATTATATAAATATGTATTGTATTATCTCTCTCAAAAATGGTTGAAGTATACCCGCAATTCTGGAATGAGCAAATATAAAATACATAATACGTAATCTAGTGTTTTCATTGGTGAAGTATAAACAATTTCTATTTAAAGCACAATTTTTCACATATGCCGATTCAATTGAGGGAAATGATCTGATATTAATAATCAAAAATAGCCCTTCAAATTGACAACGATGACTGGTCATTTAAACAAGTGGAATAAATAAATAAATAAATAAATAAATAAATAAATATACAAAATAAATAGATAACAACTTCAAGCTTCACATCACCAAAGTTTGTACATTAAAACCATATTTGACCTAGGTGGAAATTTCTTTTGCAGGTTTTCTTGAATACTGTGTGAAAAACTGAACAAATTACAAATGTTATAGGCCTTACAAAATTGGTCAATGTCCACATCCAACAGAATTAAAATATCATACCCAAAAAGAAACATCTAACTTGAGTTTGAAAACCTGAAAGGCAATGACAATAGAGTAACAAAACTGCTCTTTGGTTTCAAACAAAGAAAGAGTTACGCAAAAACCAGAATGGCAAAAAAATCTTGCATATCCTACGCAGAGCATCTATCTACTTCATTATAATGGTGTTCTTCTTCAGTTCGCCAGTCAAAGAAAACATTACAAAAGTGAAAAATGACATCGATATCATCTGCACCACGGGAAAAAAAGCCTCGCCATGCAAAGACAGCAATTGAGCATGACTGGAAGAGAAAATTGAACACGTATGAAATAGCATCTTTTAGAGCCTTCAGAATAAATTGGCCATATTTGACACGATGAACACTGAAAATAATTGCATATACGATTATTGCATAGAGAAGCCAGATGAAGATGCATTCTAAATTCCATGAAATATGTGCACTTGTTTAATCTGTTGCACGATGTGGTGTTTATACATACAGTATAGTTTGAAAAATCGCTGTAATATACATTTGGTTGGAAATATAGATCTAGTTTCATGGCACTGGTTGTACTGCTAAACCAAGCTTATAAAAATAACACTGTTGAAATGTGAGTGTTGAAAAGATTCCTTTACCTTCTTTCTCTTCGTAATCTGAGATTAAAAAAGATTCAAAGGAAAAAATGCTTTAAAGCAGTATTTCTCAACCACGTTCCTGGAGGACCACCAGCTCTGCACGTTTTCCATGTCTCCTTAACCAATCATGCCGGATTCAGATCATCAGCTCATTAGCAGAGACTGAAAGACCTGTAATAGGTGTGACCAAGTGTGCCGCACACCTCCTTTTGAGTGATGCTTGTTAGATCGCCCCCTGGGGCCTGGCTGCAGTACAAGTTATAAAGCCTGCCTCCCCCATGTTAACCAAGTAGACTTGAGCACAAATAAAAAAAAAATCCCCAAAAATGGATTTGGTCAATTGAGGCACTGGCTGTCAAGCTGATATAGGTTCAGATCGTCATTTTTGTAAACATTATGTTTTTAACAAGTAATTTAATGCTATAAAAACAGGGCTTGTCATTGTGATTGACAGTTGTGATTGACAGCTTCTCTAAGCAGACCGTCAGGGCTTCGGGAGAAGATTGAAGTACCAATATTTGATGTCTGTGTTATATTACTATAATAGAATGAGTTGTTCAGCAGTAAACCATACTTTCTCACCTACAGGATCTGACGAATCACTGTTTATTTGGTTTAATGGGGGCTTTTGTTCGGTGACACAAGCAAAATGGTATCATGTCAGGGAAAACAGGTGATGGTTATTTAGCAGTAATTCTTTATTTTTAATTCTTGAATGTAAATTTCTCTTTGCCAGATGTAATTAAGACATCGGATAAACCAAATGAAAATGGAGGCAAAAAAAATAAAAAATAAAATAAAAATAAAAAGTAAACAATATACAAGCAATGTTGCTGGTGCCGATAGACATCAGTTGATGTATTAATACTGCTGAGTTTGTTATACAAATTGATAGAGATTATTGTAAATAGTGCTGGGATGTGTAAATAACCTCTTGACATTTACGAATCTTGCTGTTTTTATCTTTTGCTAAAATAAGCGCATGATTTTTCCCGCATGGCAAATAGCTATCCATGATGTGTATATCTTGGGTTTTGTTGATTTTTAATTAAAAATAAAAAACTTTCAAAAATTTTGTGTTTTTTATGTTATTTTTAATATTTTACAAGTGTTGTTTTTACCCCAATAATATAATAAATACCAACAACCCGTTATAAGACAAATATGTTAGGCTCATCATAGTTTAGTCTAAACCTAGGCTAGAATGTATGAAAGATCATTTATTTTTCAGATCAACATATATTGCTTTTATTAAATTATTAAAAACAGCTTACATCACACAGGGGTTGATTTGTCATACAAGCGTTTGGTTGGAAGCTTAATTCTGCGGCTCTGCCTCTGGCTCCATCAGGCAGTCCTTCTACGCATGCCCAGGCTCCAATTTCAGCAGTTTTTTGTGACAGTTTGTGCCCATCATGAGGTATTTTGCATTCACAGCTTTAGCGTTGTTTATATTTTTTACAGTCATTGGGTGTGATGGACGAAGGAGACATCTAAATCATGCAGTGCTGGTGGTCAGGAACGTGGTTAAGAAACACTGATTTAAAGTATATATACTTCTACATATTATTTGATTTAAACTTGTATTAAATATTTTCCTCAAGCCTCAGTCAGGCTTTTTCAGCTTAATTAAATGATAAAAACATAAATAAATAAATAAATAAATAAATAAATAAATAAATAAATAAGACTATGTAATTGTTTTTTGGTCAACCTAAAAAAATAACGTTTGGCACATGAATACAACATAATTCAATCTGAAAATGAGCACAGATAGAGGAACACATTGACCACAGCTTGAATAAATAAACTCTTTTCTTTTTCTCACCTGGCACTCATCAAGATCCATTAATAATCGATATCAGAATGAAACATCAGGAGACCCCAGGACACACGTACCAAAGCAAATCTCGGTCTCTGAGACCTGTAACATTTTCATAGTGTATTCATGGAAGCCCCAAACTGCCTCGAGAACCCGAAAAATGCTTCAATAGCTTTCTCACTGGAAGTATTATCATTTAAATATAGGATATATTACAGCAGTAATGTTTCTCCGTATTCTTGCAATGCAGTACGTCTTCAAGTTGCAAAAAAAATGTTTTACAAGATATCCTCTTGGATTCCCAGTCATCAGAAGTTCTTAAGTTGAATATTTACTTTTAGTCATTTTCTTTTTTTTTAGTAAATATATTGCCACATTCATATATCATGCATTTTACTGCATTGCTATTGCACAGGTCCGGATTATTCAGGAGGATAGAAGAGAAAAAGACGGAAAAAAAAGAAAAGGAGGAGGAATAAATACCTCTGCCGGGGACTCGTCATCACCAAAAGCGAGTGAGAGCACTGCACTGAGAGAAAGGCGGGCACGGTGGGACGTGAGGAAGGGGCGTAGAGGCGGGTGTATTCGAATATCTTTACTGCTTGTGAATATCCTCGCTGCGTATGATCTTGTAAGTGATCCAGTAGAAAATGTTAAAAATGAGGAAGACCAGCGGAAAGGCCACACGCGACACTGTGTCGATCCGTTTGGCACGGCTGATGAAGAGCTTGCGCATTTCCTCCACAGTTTTCTCAGGGGGGTTGGTGGAGGTGGGCGCGTTGTTGTTGTTGCCCTTGATTGCCATGCCGTCTTTGGCCTGGAGGCACGCTGGACCCATGCCGTAGGCTGCGAAGCTGAATCTGCCGTCTCCCGCCTCGTCCTCCTGCAATACAGCACAGGTGTCCATAATTCACACACTACCGGTTAGCATATTCATTAAATGATTATCTTTTGAAAAAAAAAAACTTTTTTCTGACCATAGTAAAGTCTATATAATGCAATCCAGAAGCATCAAAAACTATGCAAAACTATTATAATGATGTTGATGAAAAATGCCTTGTTTCCACTGAGTGGCAGGCTTGTGTCAGTATCAAATATTATTGTGATATAGACCTAAGCTACAAAAAAAAGTACTTCAAAGGGCTGGTCCACTACAATATCAATTTTTAAACTTTAGTTGATGTAGCACGTGTAAACATAAACAACATCTCTGTATGTAATACGCTCAAAGTTCAATGCAAAGGGAAACATTGGCTTTTACAGAGTTAGCTAAACAAAGCCTACAGAGAATAAAGTTTGGGGACTACAAGAAAATACATACAGGTAGGTGAGATCACAAAATCAGTTTATGTGCATTTATCATGTGCACACACCAAGCACAGTGAAGGGGCGTGGCCAGAGGCGCTGTAATGCTATAGCAGAGTACGCTAAAATGCGGTCTAAACGCTGCTATTTCCACAGAGCTCGTTCTGTTTATGTATTTGGGCTTATAAAGGACGTGACGCAAAGAGAGAAGTGCTGACAATTTAATTTAAATATGATCCAGAGAATTATAAAAAAGATATATCTAGCGTTTGACAAAGGACAGCTTCCAGAATCTTTCCCAGTTCAGTGCTGGATTTGGCTAAGAACTCCTCAAAGAAGGATCAGCTCCAGCCACAATAGACCAAGCTGTGGATTGTGAGCTACAACATGTAAGGATATTTATTTGTTAAAATTGAACAATTACATGCAGTTACTAGCGTTAACGATATGTTGTAGCAAGGACATAAACAAGGATGTAAACAAAGGGAAATGCTGTTTGGAACTTTTAACAATTTAGCTACAAATTCTAGGGATACGCCGATATAGATTTTTGGGCCGGAATCGATAACTGATAACTTTTTAGGTTTGGAGACCGATAACAGATATAGGCCAATAAATATAAATATTTAAAAATATTACATTTTTAGACAGTGAACAACTGATTTTATTTGAAAAACTGTATAAAAGTCTGAACTGATCTTCTTTGAATAGCCTACTCAAAGACAGCAATATTTAAAATTGCAAGGTGATTGTATATACATACAACTTCACATAAATTAGCATGCCAAAAATAAATTATTTACATTTCTTCATAGCAAATTAACATGAAACTTAACTGTTGCATAAAATAATAAGTTAAATAACCAATTGAGATTTAATTAACAAACGAGTTAAATAATTACATTTTAAATCAAATGAAAATGAAAGTTGTTGAATAAAACATGTTACAGTAATGTACACTTGTTTGTTGCTGGTTAATTTGACACCTTTACCACACTCCCGCAAGATTCTCTTGTGCTTACACGAAAAGTTATCTTTCATTTATACACATGTAATATTTTTCCTCAGGCAATTTAAACCAAAATACATGATGACTCTCTATCAAACATCAACAATGATAAGGAATATGATTGCTTACTGAGTTATTAATAAATATCAATACCACAAAAACTTTCTGGGAGTAGATTTTGAAGGAATAAACAATGTGAGAAAAGCTTATAGTGCACTGGTCAAATCTGAACAAGTTTGACCCACACATGTGTGAGGCAGGCAGTACAATTACATAATCTATCGGCTTAAAGATATCTGCTTAATTTTGATATCAGACAGATAACATTAAAAATAGCATGTATCGGCCAATATGGATATTGCCATCCTGCATTAGCATATACATGCTTAAAACCCGAATATATATGAAAGACACTTGTCAGATTTTATTTTAGAGAGCAGGCATGAGCTTCAGCTGTGTCCTCTTCTTTTTATTCTAATTCAGGCTCATACTGACTGACAGTATTTATACAGCACAGGCACAGTGCATGCGAATCACAGCATATTATGTTAGCTGACCAATCAGAGCCTCTTTTGGAGAAACTAGGAAATGTGACAGTCGTTCTCATGTTAGTTGAGTAGCAGTAATGAAGCATGAGCACACATTGCTTTGGATCTTATAAACACAACCAAGCCTTAAAAAAAAAACTGGACCCCCCCTTTAAAAGGTACAATAACAAAAATACTTAAATTAACAATTATTGTGTAGTCATGTTCCAAGTAAACAAATGTTTCAAGCTAATTAAATTGCAAAAAGATTATAAAGTATGATAGGTAACACTATACAATAAAGTTTTCATTAGTAAATGTTAGTTAATGGATTAAAATAGTGAGAAAAGGCAGATTACAGTTTCTGTCTCATTATTAGTTAAACAATACAGCGAAATGTTATTAATTATTAACCATATGCAGTACAGTAGGTAGAAACTATTAAGATAACCAATTTAATCTTTAAGCATTTGGTTCTGTTATGAACACCACTGCAAATACACTGTGAATATTCATATAAAGCACACTAAAACTTTCAATAATAAATAATTATTCACTGTATTTTGAAGTGTCCATGATATTAATATTGTGCATGTTCATTATCATGATATTTTAAACTTCTGCGTATTGGCGCATGCACAGTACAGTATGATTTGGTCCCAATGGTATCAGTTTCTAATTTGATACTTTTGACAGTGGAAAATTGAAATAAAATATCATACTGTAGTGCATTAAACTTTAATGCTCAGCGAACCCTAGCCTTAAATGGCATCTGATGTGAAACTACCCTGAACAGACACTTTATTAAGTAAGCCAAATTTCTAGTATACCTACGAATAGCTTGATTAGCTGTTTTAGGTGTGTCTGGTTGTGGTTGGAGCTCAACTCTGCTGGACACCGGCCCCAGAGGACCAAGTTTGGGCACCCCTGAAGTAAACCATACTAGTTCTGGGCAGGACCCCCTTTTCCTTTCTAAATTGCCTTAATTCTTTGAGAAACAGATTCAAGAAGGTTCTGGAAATCCTCCGCAGAAATTTTGTTCCATAGTGATATGATAATCACTTACTGCAGATTTGTCAGCTGCATAGTTGATCTTCTGTTCTAGCAGATCTTAAATGATTAAGATCAGAAAACTATGAGACCATTTAAGTATAGTTCATTTATTGTCATCTTTACAAAGCAGTTTTGAGCTTTGGGGTGGATTACCTTGCTGGGCGTAGACATCATAAGATTGGTACAGTAGAAATGAAACAATAAAACTTCTCCACAACAATACTAAGGTAGGCGTAGGTGGCTTTCAGTAAATATTTAATTGTTACTAAGGAAACAAATGTCTGGTCAATCTCCAACCCTCTCGCACCAGCAAGGCATTACTGCCTACATAAATGCACTATTTTCTTTTTTCCTGACCATTTTCTGTAAACCCTAGCCCAGGGGTGTTTAAACTCAGTCCTGGAGGGCCGGTGTCCAGCATAGTTTAACTCCAACTTCCTTTAACACACTTGCTTGTAAGTTTCTAGTATACCTAGAAAGAGCTTGATTAGCTGGTTCAGGTATGTTTAATTGGGGTTAGAACTAAAATATGCAGGATTAGACATCCCTGCCCTAGCCCATCTTGCCCCATCAGCCATGCCACATTCAAAGTTACTTAAATATCTTTTTAAACTTCAAATGATTGTTTTCAACAGGCATAATCAATAAAATGCCCAATGTTTATATACAGTAGATATGTAAGACAACCACTAATTTACTTATACTATAAACCATTACACATCCAGCCAACTGTTATGCAATTGTAAATATCAGCACATTGTTAAGCTCATGCAGAAGTGCAGAGAATTACTCCTCACACAGGCCTCACAACATGCCTTAATTATTCTTTACAACATGCTGTTGTTTTCTTCAAGTGTAAACTCATGAGCATACATACAGTATGACAGCATTGGCTTATAGTTTTAAAATAGTTTAAAATAACATCTGTCTAAGTGTAGAAATTTACTTCATGAATTTTTTGCTCCAATTTGCAGTCTGGATGCCTCAATACCTGTTGCCCAAAGCCAGAACCCATCTGCAGACTTTAGGCAATCGTTGACAGATATAGACGTATTTAATGGGCAAAAACTCTGAGTTTCTAACTTCGCAATCTGATTTCATTCAGTTGGAGGAGCTCAAACATGTTTGATATTTGCTGAGGCAATTTTAGCATCCAAAATCACATACTGTCTTTTGCCATATAAACTTTTTCACATACTGTATAGTAGGAAAATATTTGATTTTGATGCATCATCTCTTTTGTCGATCATCTCCTAGCAACAAGGTGCAAGACTGCAAGGTGCAGGACTTTGTGTGCAAAACAACCTTCAAGTCTGGTACAGTCTAATCCTCAGTATCTGCAAGTGTATGAATATATCATGCAATGTAACATATGGAATTATTTCATGCACTGGAATCATATGTATTACTACTGTAATTGCTATGTGTGATTTTCCTTTAAAGCACGGCATTAGGGTTACTATTATATGGCATTACATGGACTTCTGGCACAATCTGAGGGTGAGTAAATGACATTTTTTTATTTAATCATTCATTCATTCATTTTCTTTTTGGCTTAGTCCTTTTATTAATCTAGGGTCACCACAGCGAAATGAAGCGCCAACTTATCCAGCATATGTTTTATGCAGCGGATGCCCTTCCAGCTGCAACCCATCACTAGGAAACATCCACACACCCTCATTCACACACATACACTAATGACAATTTAGCTTACCTAATTCACCTATACAGCATGTCTTCGGACTTGTGGGGGAACCGGAGCACCCGGAGGAAACACAGGCCAGCATGAGGAGAACATGCAAATCTCACACAGAAATGCCAACTGACCCAGCCGAGGCTCGAATCAGTGACCTTCTTGCTATGAGGTAATGATGCTACCCAATGTGCCACCGTGACACCTCTATTTATTCATAGAGTATCAATTTAAAACTTCCAATCCAGTCAAATGGATTACATGTTTTGTTATGGATATTATCTATTGACATATGT